TATGAATGCTTATCTATTCAAGATATACTACCAATTCCTTTGAAGTTACTACCACTACCGAATACCGAAGCAGGCTTGCTCCTTCAAAATAAGGTGGCTAAGACAAACAAGACAGGGGGCCTATTCCAATAACTTAACTGGCAGTCGGGCTCTATTATGCCTATTCAACATATTACGATTGTGATACAATTCCATTGCCTGCTTTTATTCATGTTCGTGCTTACTTGTATGCCGGAACTTCAAGGTCAATAAATAAGGACTCCTATCCTAGAAACTCGGTCTGCTTGCTCCTACAAAAGCTCATACGGTGTGTCTCCTATCCCGATACGAGTTATCTTCTGACCGTTCCCTCGTGCTTGTTTCAGGAAGCACTTCAGACGAAGATTAATGAGGCTCAGCAGGCTTATAAAGTACTCCAAGACCACGTTACTAGCGTTGAACAGGCGAGGGCTCGAGCTGAGGCTGACAAAAGCTGTGACAGCGGGCCGTCTCTGCGAATAAAGATAGAGACATGGATAGGAAGAAGGTGCTTCTACGAAACAAATCTCCAAGCCTTTCTTTATTGATGAAACATATAGATCATGTAAGGAACGCCATAATCACCTAACAGCTGCGCTCTCTAGAGAGAAGAAGTACACATAGTTGCCAAGTTGGGAAATCGCGTGTATCCGCTCTATTGTCGACACAATCTTTGTTTGATCCAAGTAATTTCTCTATAAGAAAAAGTCAAAGAATAAGAGAGAGTACTTTCTCGCCTTATCAAATTAAGCCAAAAAGACGGGCTTTTCATGGAAGGCAGAATTCACAGCTGAGTGAATTTCTTCTCGGTATCAATGCACTAATTCCTAGCTACCTTCCTCTTTCTTTATTCAATTTCTAGTTAGCCTTTTGGACAGGGCTATAATAAAATAAAGAATGAAAAGCATCTCTTCTTCTGTTCTCCTTCGAGACGTGCCTAAGCTCAGTCTTTGTCTTGCTGAATGCTAGATTTCTAAACAAGAAGGTGAAGGGAGAATCACTCAATGGAAAGAATCAAAGAGCTCCAACAAGGTCTACAATCAGACTAGTCAATTTCCTCAGAAGCTAGAACTATGAGTTCCACATAGCCATGAACCTCTCCCGTGAAAACGCTAGTGGCTCTGCCCTAGGAAGAGCTGATCTTTCTGCATTCCTAACTCACTCGACCTAGCTACACTCTCATTCACATAGGACCCCTCTTTTTTAAGTTTCCAGGGCTTCTGTTGTGAACCCGATTCTAGTTCTAGATGCTCCCTCACAGACTCCAGTCAGAAGCGCTAATACGCGAAAATGAGTCTATTCTGCATTCTAACAAACTCAGGCTACTACTTTCCTTTAGTTCGTTTCTTGTGTTAGAACAGACGGAAGAGAACCAAGTCCTAGGATACTTGTCTTCTGGGGACCTTCTTTCGGATTCACTGAATTGCTCTTTTCCTCTTTCACCAACAATCTAGATAGAAAGAAGTCAGTCATCCTCTAGCCCATGGATTCTCACGGATCGTTGCGGATGGGGTACTATCCTTTCCTAGGACCTTTGCTTACCATATTCTCGCTGAGCTATATTTATTTCTTTTTAGACTTCTATATGATCCAGAGAATGGTCTCCCTTGAGTCCTTCTACAGTCTTGAAGCTAGAATCAATCCCTAGATTTCATATTTTTTAGGGAGAAAGTCGGATACACTCTTTTTATTGGATTGGCTGACTAAAGCGAGAAGAAGAAGTCAGTGCTCATTCAAGTCTAGTACATTTATAGATTGAGAGCATTAGGAACTCGGATTTTTCCGCAAGTCGTTCGCTCACAGATAGAAGGGAAGGTTAAGGGCTTTTATTTTAAGAAAGGAGTGGATTTCGAATCCTTTCTGGACCTGACTCTGAAGTAGGGCTCCCCCTATCGGGTACGTATCTGTCCACTGACTTTCTTCTCGGAACTTGGAAAAGTCTTCTCCTTGTTAGAGTTCTTTCTGAGAGTTTGGAGTTTCCTGAGAAAGAGGAATTCAGTCGACTGGATAGCGTATTTCTCCTTCTATCTAGCTATACTTCTTGAGCTAAAATTCACAAGACTAATGGATAAGTGAAGGCACTGAGAATAAGCCACTAGGGTACTGCTCCAAATGTGAGAATGAAGGGTTTCTTGGACCCTGGGACATATTGGATGGTTTCGAGCTGTCTATCGAGTTGGAGTGAGAGATAGGAGTTTTAAAGACCTAAAGAGGTAGGATAGTAAATTGCTTTGGAGAAGAGAGTAGGCAGATTGTGAGATCCCAGACGAGGCTACTCCTTTGCTCTTCATGTGCTAAGTCCTTAATTTCTTTCTAAGACCAGCAGGACGACGAAATAGGTGGTTTGTGAGGCAACATCATATGCTCTTATTTAAAATATGGAGATACCCGTAGTTCTTTTGCCCCATACCTAGTAGCTACTGAGTAGGCTTCTACAGCCCAATCTCATAATAAGCAAATAGGGTAGACACATCGTAGAAGAAAGGCTAGGAATAGAGAAAGAGCTGGTACTTTCTCTGGGAACTCTCTTCTTATTTAATTTAAGGCTCATGGCTTCCTTGGATGCTCTATGGAGGGATATAAGACTTCTCTATCTCCGTGACTTCTTTACCATGGTACTCTTTCTATGGAGGTAATTGAGTAGACAAAAAGAAAGGCACTAGTTCAAGGTTCCTGGAAAGGTGTAGATGCCTCTGTCTATTGACCTGAACAACTTGTCAACACTCTAGGGCTTACTAATAGCTCTAATTCTAATAAGGTACTTTAAGGAAAATGCTACAGAGGGATTGGATGGATGAAGCCATGACTGAGAAAGTGACTTCCATCTACTTACTTGATATAAGAAAGGTTGATAGAGCTTCAATAGTAAGGAGCCAGCAGAGACTCATTTCAATACATTCTACTAGACCCTTAGAGAGGTACAAGGCTCTCCATTCCCTGTGATAGATAGAGCCAGTAGGACCCTATATGAATCCATTTGTTAGGAGAGCATTGAACCAGAGTCTAGAACGGGACATAGAAACTCCCCAGGTAGAGTATTTGATAAAGCTTGAAGACTCAAAGAAGTATACTCCACTTTGTAAAGGAATCCTACTAGCACGCATACTTCCTTTTCTTCCTATATGTGTCATGGTCATTACTATAGCCTCTTATTAGTGAGTTATGCTGATACTCGGGAAAGCATTCAGTTATCCCCACTCATAGTTCTGGCTCAGGGCAGGTGCTGAAAGCAAGAAAGAGAAGAAGACCACGTGCCAGCCTTAAGCTCAAGGCTCAGTTATTAACTATTAGTAAGTGAGTCTAGCAACGTTCCTCTTTTCAGGACTAAGTCGGAAAGAAGAAGAAAGGCAGACTCCATCAATCAAGGGGTGGGATTGAAACCCCGGAAAGATACGATCCACGAATAGATAGGTTCCCACGTCCCAGGTAGCGCTTAGAAGGCAGTGAAGGAAAGCGTTTCAATTCTTTCGGAGTCCCGCTCAGGGCGAAAAAGACCGAGGGAAAGGGAAATGGCTATCAGTTCTGACTCTATTCCCGAGGGGGAATCAATTGTTTCAGCTCGAGTGAATATGTCGAAAGGTAAATGCTTTTGAAGTTTAATGAATCCGGTTGATGCTTTCTTGTTAAATGCTTGCTTCTTTCTTGGAAAAGAAAGAGGGTTGGAACCAAGGAAGACACAATAGACAGTAGTCGAACGTCGAGTCATAGGGCAGCTAGCCCAATCTGAGTCGCAATAGTAAATCCGTCTTAGCCGAGAAGAGACTACCTTTTAAATTCAATAGATATTTCGAGTTTCCTGAAAAGAGCAGAGACAAGGGATGCTCCTCTTTATAAGAATAAGTCTAAGAATAAGAGGACCAAGAAGAAAATTCTTCCTGGTTGCCATACCATAGTGGCCAGCATGCGCTGACGGGTTCTTCGAAGATCTCATTTCAGGGGTAATCAAGCTCAGCTTAGTCTCTCTCTTTACTTAGCAACTTGTTATAGCTAGAGTTTTGGTCAGTTTGTTAGGAGGGCAACTTCAGTAGTCAATTCCTTCTTTGAAAGATGTTTGCTTAGTAGATTCTCTCTTAGATTTCAACCTCTCGTAGCGTAGACCTTTGAGAAAGAGGCATTCAAAGAACTTCCATAGAGGAGAAAGACGCTGCCTTTGCCCTGTTGAGTGGTTTAGCCTTCCTTCTTTATCATGGTCATTGTTTTAGCTCTTGAGATTGGAATCTCTTCAGTCAGGAATCAAAGACCAACAACTTGCTTTTTGAATCAAACTTTGTTTGCCTCAAGCCCTCTCTTTTAATTTGAATAAGGCGTTCTACTCGCTTTCACCTCTTAGATGTCTGGTAGCGCTTCTTCCCGTTGATAGCGATTCTTCCCTTTCTATAGTTTCATAAGCGGGAAGTTATCCAGTATGCCCAGGAATGAAGTGAAAATCGATAGGTACTCTTTTTGCTCACACCGGGATATGCGACATAGTCTAGTATGATAGAGCTGATGCTCCTATCCCTACAAGTGAGTCGAGCTGATCAGCGACAGAGACTTTTCAAAGTCAAAGTATACCTACATCTGTCTCTGAGATCCGAGAATAACGTATGCCATAGATATCCGGAAATTGTAATCGATTTACCTTTTGCCCTTTAATTTAAAAGGGGTTTCCACGAATATTAATGATTGCTCTTCCGGAAAGAGACTCCCCTGGCTATGCTTACGAGTTGACTAGCGGTTTCCGAGTCAAGCCAAAAACTTTATTTATTCCCATTGTACTCGCCTACTATACTGGAACTCCTGGATCCGCAAACGGTCACTCTAACGAATAACGAAGAATATGCTCAAGGGTCTCTCTTTTGCTGATTGAAGAATGTAGTAAACTTCCTTACCGTGAGGGCCATCGGGCGTTCGGAGAGAATCTCTGCTCTGATTCTGCGACTTCGCCAGAAGATCTGATATGACTGGAATGGCATGCTTCGGGCTGCAAATTGGACGTCAACTTCTCCTTCAGTACTCTGCGCGTATCATATATTTCCTTATAATTGGATGTACGAAAACATAGCGTTTTCACAAATTCTGATTTGATCTAATTCCATATGCTGAAATCCATTCGGGCAGAAACTTTACCAAATCCAGACTCGACCACTGTAACACTAAGCACAAAAGAAGCCAAAAGACTTGGTTTCTCTCAAATCAAATCTCTGTATCAGATCGATCCGCTGACATTGATGCCAAAAAAACCCCTCCTTTCCTTCGCAGGGAAGAATCCAGGGATTGATCTCGATTTTCCCTCTGCTCTAATCACTTAAAAGAACTCCACTCACTAAAAAAGGTAAAGGTAAAGAATCCAATAAAGGGAAACCCTCCATGGCACAGCACAGGTCAGGGTCCGAGACAGAAGAAAGCCCAAAAGCCACTGAGCTTTTGGTGTCATCTCCGCTGGCTCAAGAAAGAACCACCAGAGCTGATTATTTACAGCGAAACTCCAAAAATCTCCTCTAACAGAAAGGCAGATACCTAGAAGATTCTATCATAGGGTTCCCCCCATTATCCTGCTAAATTGTCTTGACTTTGGTTCTATTTCATTTGGGAAGTGAGGGGAATTCCGGCATTAATACGAAGACTCGAAGCCAATTCGTGGGCATTCCTATTTAGAATTAGAATAAAGGAGGACAAGAAAGCCTACTCCCGACAATGAAAGAAAAAACAGAAATACCGGAAATTTAAAATAGACTACTACTATGGTAAGAGCTCACTGGAATGTCATGCCTAGAAAGAGGTCAATGTTCAATTTGGGCTAGGAAAGGAGAATCCGAGATTGTATAACTAGATCTAACTATAATAGTTAGTTATGGTTTTTTGAGGTCGAGTTGGAAATAGAGGGAGCCGTCTACCTCTTCGAAGGATAAAAGAGTCCCGATTGTCGCTTGTCCTGGGAAGGAAGCTTCTTTTGTTACTGAGCTGCTACAGACTTCGATCAAGGAAAGCTGTCCAATTACGCATCAATCTAAAAAGTAGCATTTTCCCGCGCGTCATCAACAGTAAAGTCAGTGTCTATAGCCGCTGCATCTTTTTTCTTTTTGTTTTTGTTATTGTATTTACTGATTGGTTTAAGGCTGTCCTAGGAGTAGGGAATTACGGTCAATCAAACCAGTTCATGAATGAATGGCAATGGAGCACGAACGGTTAAGAGGTTAGTTCCAGATTTCGTGAGTTCTATTCGCATTTCGTTTTACTTTTTCTTTGAAGAAGGGAAAGGAAGTGACAATCAGTGTCGTGTGGGTCAAGCCAGCTGTTCTCAATCGCTCTTTCCAATTTCTATGGCTACATACTTTGCTTTGAATTGGTCTCTTCTAAGGAGGCCTTTTTCCGGGTAAATGTCAGAGATAAGAGATAGCCGTAGTATCTTAATCCTTTTTCCTGCAAGGGGGTGGGAGAGAGTGCCCCATAAACCATCGAGTGGAAGTACTTTTTTTCCCCTTTCCTTAGACCGAGACGAATACATCGAGAATCCAATGTGCAATTCATTTTGATGAGATAGATTCAGAGTGATCTGAAAAGCGGGAAAGAAATCTCTCTCTATTACTACGAATAAGATTTTGATCTTCTAAACTTAAACAAAGTAAGCATAAAGTTAGATTGGTTTGTGACATGGGTTGACTCTGATAGGAGGCTTTGAGATTGTGGGCTAGTCTGAATCCTAGATGCAAGCTGATTAGGTTGATAAAGGGGTCTCTTGTGAGACATCTTTGAAGCACTGCATCTTTCTAGCTTAAAAGAAAGAGAAAGACAACGAAGTGGGAAGATTTCCCAAGCTTAGGACTATTATCAATGGGCACTAGAGGGAGGCGCTAACATGCAAAAAAGCCTCCTTTCGGGTGTTTTTTCGGGAAGAGCACAGGAATGACTACAGAGAAGACTGAAAACTTCCATCAAGAATAGGCGGCTATAGCACGGTTCTCAATAGAAAGTGTTGTCAATGAGATAACGTCTGTAATCCATGGCCTTTTCTTCTCTCTCCTTCGCTCGGGGGAGACGGGGTGATGTTGTTTAATTGTGGTTGCCTGCCTCATTATATTATAGGCGGAAGGCTTCGTTTGACCTAGGTTGATAACCATATTAGTACCGGGGCAGTTGGACTATCTAGTAATGGAAAAATTCTTCCTTTTACTCCTTTCTGCTTATGCTCCTAGGTGTTGGGCTCCCGGTCAAATAGGGGAGTCTTATTCGCAGCTTTTCTCTAGTTTCTTTGTTTGAGGCTCTCTTCAAACCCTTCAGCGTGGAGCAAATCAAGCAAGGCAAGTTCGATTTCAAGCCTTCCCGATCAATTGTGAGTGGACTGGAGCTTGAGATAGCCCTTTTAGAGCTAGCTGTTGACTTTCTGAGATAGAGCTAGTATTTTGGGTTAGCCAGATAGACCGAACTGTGATACTTAACAGAATCATTGATTTATTAGGTTGTTCGAGTTGTTCTTGAATTAGTACTTTTCTCTCCTGATCTAAGGGTAGTTCTAGCAAGGTTGAAGCATTCCATTACATACAAGGTGCTAACACGGATGAATCTGGTAGAGAGAAAGAGGATCTTTCCCTCCGCTTTTTGTAAAACCTTGCTTACGTAGCCTTGCCTTGAAGTGAAGCTCGATCGCAGGCAGGTGGCTCAAGCTCTATCCTCGATTCCAACGGTCTAACGGAGATGGGATTTTGCGGAACATCTTTAGAGATAGAATCTCTCTCTGTCTAGTTCTACAAGGAAATGGGCGCACTGAATCCTTCTATTATTTCTTAATAAAAATAGTATTAATTATTTTTATTAAGAAATAGAGTGACGACTGCAGCTACATTCTTTTAAAAGAATGTTCTCGCTATTGTAGATTTTCGAATTCATGGAAAATGGTGCTTTGTTCACACCTATGTTGATCTACCGCTGCTTTACACGCCCTTGATAGACGCATTTAACCAGAAAGAGATAGACGGGCAGAAGATCAATGAAAAAGACTTGCTAGCTTTTCGGCATACCGAAACAAAAGACGCCAGGGATTGGGCTGATTGACCCCAGGTTCCGGGACGAGAATCAGGTAAACAGTTGAAGTACCAAAGAGCGGTCCCAAGGGACGGAAGAAAGGAAGCAAACTAAGATTCCTAAGAGCTGTTTCCTACTAGCAGCAGGAAAAAGAAGAGATATAACAAAGGAGATCAGACAGCACCTGACCCTCTGTCTTTGGTAGGCAGAAGAGAAGCTTTCTCAGATTCCTCATCTCTTGAGCTTTCCCCGGTTGACGTTGAAGCCAAAGAAACGGGGGGAAGGGCACAACCAGTAGTTCCCACACCCATTCCCATTCAATGATTGATTCGAATAGCTAAGCGAAGGCTGAATTGAATGGACGAGTAAGGATGGGAATACGAGCTCCTTCATCTCAGCTTGTGAGGGAAAGACGGCGATAGCGGATTCAGCATGGGAAGGTAGAACATGGATCTCGGTGTCCGGTCATCACGAAAGGAAGGACGCTTCGCTTGTCGGTTCGGATTGCTTCATCAGAGACACGGTCTAGAGAAGGAAGGTGTCATCCGTCGTCCGGTCTCCTTTGATTTTAATTTGATGCTCACTCCACTTTGAACTGAACTAATGTCGTATGTTAACGAGTCTGTCTGTGCACGTACTCTTTCTTTCTCCTGGGCCCCTCTGGGGAAATCCTTTGCTGACTGCGGGCACCCTACTGGTCGAGTGGTTTTATCCCGATCCATAGTATGTTTCGACAGATGATTGATGAGAATGCGAGCACCTATGATCTTATGAAGCAGACGTTTTTTCCGTTTAGGTGCTTTCCCTGGTCTTTGCTACCGGGCAGGTGACTACGCTCGTTGCTTAGCCGAAAAAACTGCTAAAACTTAATGCGGCTTGGAAGACTCTTCGCTAACGAGGCAGCTATTACAGAGGAAGAATAAGAGGGAGGGGTACCAAGGAGACAAAGACAACTATGTAAGGCTTAGACCGTCGCGTATACTGCTTCTCTTTTTGGTAGTTTTCTCTTCCAGCACTACTTGTAGCTACCTATCCCTACAACTACTAAACGCTATGAAAGTCATATAACTGCTCTATAGCTATAAAACGTCCTCCTCCTATACGATATTATATAGAAAGCAGCTAGAAAAGCCATACAACTGCTATGCCTGCAATGAACCTGCTATGAAAACGATACACCTGCTCTACTGACCTGTGGCTCTACCATTTTTAGAGAAGAAAGAAGTCACAACACAAACACAAAGGAAAACTTAAAAGAACAACTACTTGATAAGGTGTTGTAAGAGACAATACAAAGTAATACAGCAGTTATTCCAGTAACACACCAGCTATGCTATGAAAGTGGCCAACATTCGCTGAGTTGGCCGACAAGTTCATCAAGCAGTTCTGCTACAACATCGATGTCGTGCCCACTCGCCCTATAGAATGAATTGTTGGAGGCTTTACTTGACGAGTAGACCGTCAGTTACCCAATGAATCATTTGCAACATACGTGGGAAGGTTAATGGCCCTAGCAGCTAAAGTGAAAGTGATGCCTCCATGAAAATTATCAGACAGATATGGTTCTAAAGACCGCTAGTAACCCCCTGGTAAGTTACATCCTTTTATTTTAAGGTAAGGAACTTTTTTTTTTTTGAATATTTCATCTGCAACGAAGATTGTTCTTGCAACCGATAGATGATATTTTTCAAAAGCCTTTATTCTCCTGTTTCAAATGCTCGACTCGTTCCCAAATCAACTACTGAATTAGCTTTCCCTGCTTGAAGTCGATAACTGGGAGTAGTCCCCTGCTCTATAATCCGATCTAGGTGGTCCCTCATCGAGGAAAGTAGCATGCAATGAAACTTCCTCTCAGCCGACCATGCCCTAATCTAGATTCCCTTTTTTGGTAGCCCGGGGCACTTCGAATGATTATGGTTCTCATCGACTGGATGTACTGAGACGCTCAACTACTTTAGTTTAGTCGATTATTACGAAAAGTCTATTCGCCATAAGGAAAGGAAAGCCCAAGGCAAGTGCGGAGTTTCAGATCAGGAAACCTACGAGCTGACGATACGAGAGACCAAAAGCCTTCGTTCATCAACAGATGAAGAATGTGTTCCAGGTGAAGGCTCTGGAAGAAATACGGTTTTAGACCAGTTTCCAGAGATCGGACCCCTAAGCTTTTCCGACCAAAGCTGAGGCTGAGGGGACCAAATACCATGGATCATGGACCTTTAACTTTCTGTAGTGAGGAAAGAGAGAGAGATGCCAGCCCGACTTAGACGACGGAGGCCTTCTCCGACGCGAGTTCGTACTCGTTTTATAAGTAGAAATCGGCATTGGGACTGTTTTATTTTAATAAGAAAAACCGCCAATAGCAAGACTCGTCACTAGCTTCTTCTCTTTCTTTTTCTATCCCATCCTGATTTTAGCATTTAGCTACGAGAATCACTCATCTAATCTCCTTTGCTCCGGCTGACCTCGATGCGGCTGTGCTGTTTGCTCTCACGATGCCATGTCCATAAGATAGAGCTCGTTCCTATCCTCCATACCTTTTTCGCCTGCTTTCTTTGAGGAGTTCCAGGGATGATATGGAATCTTCAATTTCTTGTTACATAGAGCAAAGGTCTACTCTATCTTCAAACTCGCCTTTGAAGGCAGGGCGGGCAGTTCATGTCCTAGGGCGGGAAAAGGAAGGGTAAAGAGCTTATCTTACTTAACGGATAAGGGATCGGAGAAGCAGCTCGAGAGAAAGGAAAACCGAGATCCGAGCTTGTAAGATTCGTGAGGGAAGGGATCAAAGGAAAGCTGAGAGTTGGAAGTGCGCTTCAAGTAGTCCGAGAAAGGGAAGTGAAATCATTCAAGAAAAGGCTTCGTCAATCAGCTAATTCTCGACCTGTTGAAATTCAGAATGTTTCGAATCACTCTAAGTGCCTAAGGATTCAGACATTACCTTACTAGACCTTTCTAACTAGCGATACAGGCAGCCAAAACAAAGACAAATATCGGTCACAACGAGCTTCTCATCCCTTGGGGCTCCATTCTTCACCCTCTCTCTAAGCACTAAGGGATGAAACTCGTAACCACCTGTCTCTGGCTACCAATGCAACCCGTGACCTCAAGACAAGAGCCAACCCGCCTCTCCTTGCTCTAACGAACGGGCTAATCGCACTCCGACTCCCGTAACTACATTCCCCACCCTCTCCTCGAGGCAGGGATCACAGTCGAGATCTAAGGTAGGTCTTTCGCGGAAAACCTTGGGACAGGTACCCAATTCCACTCCTAAAAGGCAATCTATTCTTGTATACCATTATTCCAGGAACAGAAAGACAACCTGAAAGAAAGACGGATTTCATTTCAAAACACGATATAAATAAGCAAGAAATGGAAGGAAAGAAGTCTAAGAGAGGCCCTTAACGAACCCGTACCTTTCATTAGAATAGAAAGAAAAGGAAAGACTTGACTATGGAGATGAGGCTAGTGGACGGGCTCACCAACTTCAACCAGGCCTTTCATGAGAAGAAATAAAGATCTTAGCCGCAGGATCTATATTTTTAGATTGTTTGGAGAAAAAGTAAACCCCCTTAGCGGCATACGTGAATAAAAGCTATAAATATCGCTCTGCAAATCAAAGACTTCTGGTCGAGTAAGAAGGCTCAAAGCATCGACCTAATTCTACTAAATGAGACAATCTCTGCAACTTAGAAGAAAAATGAATTCTAATCAGTCTCGGATCACACCTCTCTCTCTAAAGAGTCTCCGGCCTTGTCCTTATGAATGAGCCTGGAAAGCCTATCCTCATGGTCGATGGCACCCTTTCATCCCGATCGACTTAGGCAGGGAAATGGAGGGCTAAACTGAGTGAAATTAGGGCTTATCCACGAATTCTACCAAAAGAGCCTCTCTCTCACTTTCAACTTAGCAGCATCATGAGCTTCCGGACTTTCGCACAAACACGCGACTAAGCCTCGTGATCTCAAGACATTTCGCTAGACATATATCAAGAGAAGTGTGAAAACCTTGTCTAATAGCCTTTCCTGCCATGAGGGGGAGGTCGCTGTTTGAGCCCTTTTGAAAGGCAGTCCGAGCTAGCCCTTCCCGTCAGTCCCGTCACCCTATCGATCACGCCTATTCGAAACCCGTAACCAGTCTTGCCGGGATTCGAACTTACACTTGAATCGAGATATAGCTAGTGGTGAAGGCATGAGTAATCTTTCTCTCTTATCTATTCATTATAGCGATCCTACATTTATTATACGAGTGACCGCTTCGCGATCGGTGTCAATTAAATCTTGGCTGTTTGCGGTGCATCTGAGACGCGGAGCAGATTGCCACTTAGGCTGGTAAGCATTGCCAACATTTCACACTTCTGGAATCGCATTTTCTTCTGTTCCAGGGCCCTACCAAAAAAGCTTGCTTCATTGGTTGATCGAAGCTCGTGCTTTCGATTTCCTGCTGCGCGAGAAAGTCTAAAATGCTCGCGCAAAGGGCTGCGACTCCGCCACGCGGACCGATCAAAAGCCGTTTTTCGTTATCCTAGACAAAACGCAGAAGAAGTTTCCCTCTATGCCGGTGCAGCGAGACAGGGAGATCGTATCGAAAAAACTGCTTTTCCTTGAAGTAGAAGCGGATGAAAGCCTGGCTAGAGCGAATAGAAAGAGTGGATTGTTAAACTCACTGCCCGTCCTCCTTTTACCGGATGCTGATCTAGAAGCTAAAGCTAATCACCGGGCTCTAACCCTTTCAAAATAGAGGATTGATCACGCCGTCGGATTCGAGTACCTCTTACCGGTTTGCTCATCGCATGCTATCAGAGTAGAAGCTACATCACGCGGATGTTTGGGCATCTTTAAGAGTCACGTAGCTGCCCATCATCCCTTTCAAAAATGAGAGAGGACGTGACCCCCGTACGGTATGTTACGGTACGGCTCGGTATAGAAAGGGACGAAGTAGTGGATGTGATGACAAGGCATCTCCGATAGTTTGAAGGACCCCATCGTAAGGCTTTAAGTCAAATCGCGGAGGGGGGAGAGAGAGGGAAAAGCCCGTCACTTACTCAGCCTTTGATCCTTCGCGCTGGCTCTGCTATGACTCTTTGCGAACTCCTTGCCCGACTTTACCTTTACCCGAAGCCTTCCCGGTGAACTTGCCCCGATTTCAATTGTCATTATGAAGGGAAAAAGCTCTTGAAAGGGCGCCGATTGAACTCTTATTTATTATCGGACATCATCAAATCTCATTCATCTGATTCGACGTTGATGACTAGACTATCTTTCTTCAATGTGGGTACCTGGTCGCTACACCTGGTCAGACTCTACCCCCACCCAAAATAGCTTGAAGACCTGTGGCATTAGTCATCTTATTCAATTAATGCTAATACTTGTAAATCTCGTCAAGCATTCATGATTATAACTTATGTTAACAATAAATCAAGTTCCTTTCATAGCTCAGGTGTCGGTTATACCATACATTATGGGCTATGAAAGTGCCAAGCATTTGTTGTACCAAGTGTTATACAACATAAATCAAGATTAGTCATTTAACAAGCAAAGTATTAAAGAGTGAACAAGATAACAAATATAAAACATGTTAGTATCAAACATTAAAGTCCATATTAAGTTTACATTATACTTATTCTTACACCATTAGTGTAACCTTTTCACCTTGACATAATTAACTTAGCTAGACATAATGAAAGAAAGCAAAATAGATAAACAAAATAAGAACATAAAAGTTAACTAAGTAAAGGAAAGGAAATGAAAGGCATAAACTTAATATTAATGAAAACAAAGCATAAAAAATACAAAGAGAGAAAGGAAGAGCATGATCTTGATCTGGAAACCAAGATGCCTAAATGCATGGCAAATGCCTCCTTTTATAGGCCAAAATTAGGAACTATTGATTTGATGACTAATTGATAAGTGGGTGACCAACTTTTGACTTGGTGACAATCCTTATCTTCTCTTGTCTGCCCAAAACGTCATTGATAACGTCAAAATTGGAGCCAGTTGTAAACATGAAAGTTGTAGGCAATTGTCTCAGCTTTCTTGTGTAAAACATTCAGCTCATTTGGACTTCTAGAACTCCAGATATGGCCAAAATACCGAACAGTGCTCGGGCTGGAAGACAGATTCGGGCTTCTTTGTTGTTGCTACAATTTGGACTTGATAATGGCCTTTTTAGATCTTGGGCTCCATATGAAAGTTGTAGGCCTATGTCTTACCTTTCCATCCATATAAATTGGACCTAAATCTGAGATCTGTAGCTCCAGATATGACCCAATTACCGAATAGTGTTCCGGTTTGGATTGCACCGACATCTCTTCTCTAAGTTTGACCATCTCTTTATCCTTGCAATTTAAGTTCTTCAAGTCATCAATCAATCCTTTCATTTATGTGATAGGCCTGCATTAAAAATAGACATTTACCACAAGTTGTAGGTATCTTATATTATTAGATACATTATTATAAAATATATTTTAGTTAAGGAGTTATTAATACTTCAAGTGCAAAATGATGATATAAAACCATGATAAAAATGCACTTTTAAGTACTAATCAAGATGCATCGGGAGGAAAAACTATGCATGATGGTGCACTTGTTCTTGTGGGATTCATCTGGTCTCTAAGTGTTCTAGCACGGTTATTCTCATTATTTTCATTTTGAAGTGATTGATTATCTTCTTCAGCCATATTTTCTGAAAATGATGAGGATATCCTACAAAGTCTACCACTTGATGTACATGACCACACTCTCATGCACGTGTAGGAATAAAATAAAAAAAAAGAAGAAAGCAAAAGAAGGAGGAAGAAAACAAAATAAAAAGAAACAAAAGAAAAGAAACAAAGTTATATACAAGAAAAATGAAAAGAGAAAATACTATAATTTATACAAGAACTTACCTCCCCGGCAACGGCGCCAAAAACTTGACACGACTAAAAGGTTGATGTCTTCTCCCAAGTGCAGGAGTGTCGAAGTAATAAATAACCCGGCAAGACCGGGGTCGAACCACAGGGAGGTTAATTGTACAAATTATAGACAATAATTATAAACAACAATAATAGCAATAACAACAATAGTAATAGTAGTAATAATAATAATAATAATAATAATAATAATAATAATAATGATGATGATGAGAACTTAGAGATGAAATATTAATGTAAGGATTAAGCAATAATAATAACAAATGTCAAGGTTAGTAGCTTTCCAACGAGACCAATCTCACCTTAAATGGAGTTTTATAACTCTAGATATAGTTAAAAATCTGAGAAGAGGTCAGACAATAACAATTCAAATATAAAGAAATGAATGATAACTATGGTTGGATAAAGTATGACAACATTAATAAATGTAATGAGAAAAACATAAAGTATAAAGAAAGAAATGATTGAAAGAAAGATCTATTAGCTATTGATATGATTATTATAAAACATATCCTTTAATGAGAAAAATTTATGAGATGAGCATGTGATTGCAGGAGGGACCACCACTGGTGTGGTGCAATAGCAGCAACATGGGAGCACAAGTAGAGCTTCTACTACAGGTAGTTGACTTTCACCTTTCTTTTTAATAACATTGAATAATGAGATACCTTATCGTAAATGTTACCATATTGTGTTAATTCAGATATTAGATTGCCAAATGCTTAAATGTTGACAAATGATTGATTAGCTTCGGCTAATGGCATCTGAAGTGATCACCTTGAATAATGAAATACCTTATCATGAATGTTACCGTATTGTGTTAATTAAGATATCAGATTGCCAAATGCTTAAATGTTGACAATTGGATGATTAACTTCGGCTAATGACTTCTGAAGGGATGACTGAGACACTTCAGTTAATGGCATCCGAGTGGATGACCAGGACAAAGGAATGATTAGCTTCGGCTAATGACATCCAAAGGGATGATCGAGACAAATGATTGATTAGCTTCGGCTAATGGCATCCGAAAGGATGACTAGGATAAAGGGTTGATTAGTTTTGGCTGATGGCATTCGAAGTGGATGGCTGGGGTGAGTGAATGGTTAACCTCGACAAATGATACCTTAAGAGAATGGCCAGAATTAAGATTATGACTGATTGCAAGAATTAGTGCATCTATATGCACTACAAGTTGTTTATACCAGAAACATGAAGGAACTATAAGTGTCACGCTTCAAACATGAGACAATGCTAATGCTTCATTAAATTGCCAGACCGTTTCTTATCATTATTATTATTAAGTAATAACATTCTTGCAAATGTTTTTATACTGCAGCAGGAACCTACTTTTGTATGAATCAATATACTAAATATATAACTATTATTAGATCCTTTTTGTTTAAATTCATGATGACTACTTGTATGATAGAATACAAACTTATGTCTATGCATGTATATTTTTAATATGAACTTTTAATTATGCAAACATAATATTATGTATTTATGTAAGAATCACTTTTAAATGAAATGTTGATTGTTGTTGATGTATGAATTGTATCTTGATGATGTGAGTGAACATGTTCTCCAATTTCCGACACGATGTGTGTCAAGTACCCAAAAAAAATTACTGTTGTTTTGGGCTTGAAAAGCCAAGCTATTATATAGAGGATGTTGGAAAATTATGTTAGAGGTGTTTTAAACCCCATAAATTCATTTTCAATCACTTTTTAACCCAACAACATCTAAACAAACACCCTATATACCTAAATAAACATGTTTATCCATTTAAATAACCTAAAAAGGTCACAAAACCGAAAACCATCCTAAAAAATGCCTAATATCATATCTACTAAAAACACCTTAGTTAAATTTTTCTTATAAAATGAAATATATGGACACTAAAATTGACTATTTTGGTGATTGAAATCCTTGTTCATTGATGATTTTCTCTCTCTACCATAAGAATCTGGTGACTCTCTTTCCTACTTCATATTAGGGATAAAATAAAAAGGATACATGAATTAAAAGGATATAAAATGGGTATGTGGCAAATTAAAAGGACAAAAGTAAACTTTTTTAGTTTGTTCTACACTTTTATGTCGAAAGACTAAACCAAGACAAGTGAGCTAATGATGCCTCCTTCATCTTTAGATGAAAGCAAAATCTGAAATACATTGAGATCGCTGAAAAATACACAAAAAACTAAGAGAAGGAAGCAGTGACACGACGAAAAGATTAATGTTTTCTCCCAAGTGTGATGTGCATCATGGGAATGATAATCCATCTCGTAAAGGTAAATCAAATATGCAAGAGGATTCAGATGGTCCAATGACAAGAGCGAGAGCGAAACAACTACAAAGGACCTTGACGAGTCAGATTGGAATGATTGAAGCTGCGTCGGAGTTAAAATTTGGCAATCAGTTTCAAATTGGTTCAAGGGTGCTTATTTGCCTACAATTGGAGCTTAAAGATGGGAAGAGCCCTTAATGGTTCTTTTGATGCTGGACTACTTGAATTTGGGTTGATAATGCAAATAAGTTAAGAAATTGATGCTGTTTACGTCAGAACAGTAGATAAATTTGAACCCGAATTTGAAGTCAACCATTGCATGTGAAAACAAGACTAATCTAGGTGGATTTCAAGTTCAGAACGTGATCTTTCCAGATTGTCCAACCATGATTGCATTGGACTTTTGTGCAAGAAGTTATAGCCATTTTAAATTCGGTCTGTTTATGTTTCAATTAAAGTCAGAAAATGTGTGCTAGTGTAATTTGTCTGCTTACTTTGTCAAAGTCCAAGTTTTGGGCTTGATTTCTGTCATGTTGAATTTTCCTAAGTGTGGAGGGATGTTCCATTATAAATATGGCATCAGAATATGTAATAAACAACTTTTGGCCAATATTTGAACTTAATTCCGAGAATTAAGAGTTATTCTTCCAAATTGATTTGTGAAGAACCCTACTGACTTATCACTCTTCAATCACAAAGAGTGTGGCGTCAAAATCCTAGATTGATCTTTGTGGCATCCAGATCGACTTATCAAAGTATCACTCTAGTTTATCCTCCATTTTTATTTACCTTAAAAATACTATAATCTAGCCTAAACACCAGAAGAAAGACAATACAACCAGACCCATCCTTCATCCATTTTCGTCAGATTCATTGTTGCCGATTTTTGAATCATTCACGGCACAACATCTGGTATCAGAGCATCAGTTGCGATCTAAGACAAGAGCTAGAAATAGAAGAAAGGCTTGCTGGAATTGCAATTGATAAACTTAGTTATGGCTGGAGATAAAGAAGATTTGCCAAGAGGGTTAAGTTTAGAACAGGCACAGGTTATGGGCTTACAACGATCTCATGCTG